ATATAATAAAGGGTTGAAATTGTCTCAAAATAAGCCAATAACTGTGTTAGAAATTAATTTATATTTTACAACAAGTCAGAGACAGTGTTAAATTATAAATAATCTCCTCGTATTTGACGGTTTAAAGAAAGGATATAAATGACACAAAATTAAGAGAAAGATGTCTCACACTGCTTTATTAAGTGAGAAGTTAAGCTGACATGAAAGATAAGTGTCAAGAATTCAAGTAATAAATCCAACTCCTTTCAAGGAAAGTAATCTAAAAATGATGGGTCATTATTTAATATAAATTAGAAAACACTTTATGGCTATTAGTGTCAGAATATTTATTTATATATCTGCCCAATTAATTTTAAGAACTAAACATCATGCACAAGTTTGGATTAAAGCTTTTAGATGATCTAAAATATAGTAAAAGAGTGAAAACGGGGAATCAAATTGGTATTATTTAAAAATTGAGCCATAAACGCTTAACTTATGGACACATCTTTTTATTCTATTACTCTTGTGAAAAAAAATACATTTTTCATTTGTAAAATCCCCGAAAGATATTTACATTTGGCATATCTTGGACCTCAAGCGTGTTTTAAACTTTTTTAATAGCAGTAATAACGACTTCTTTTGCTGATTCTTCTAATGGGAGTGATACGTGGGATACGAACATATCTCTAATAAAAAAGTTTAAGTCTTCATAAATAGGTGCCTGAGATTGATAAATGGCTTCGTGTATCCTAAAATTATATCAAATGTAAGATTGTGGAAAATATAAAAACACACACCGGTTGATATCTCTCTTAAGAAAAGAAGAATTCAACTCTTCGGCTATATTATGAGGAACTCTGAAAGAAAACCAGCGTTTGAAGCCCTAAGTATGTTCCCAATGAACAAAACATATTGGCTAAACAAAACTTTAAAAGATATTCTAGCCTGTCTAAGTAATAATAAAAATTCGATAAATAAACTACTTAAAATAAAAATGAAATGTATAATAAATCCTTAATACCGTTATCAAGATTTAAAATTCTGGCATTATATTTATTTTAAAATTGGATTACCAAGCGCATTCATCATCCCCACCCCTATAAACCTCATTATCATCCAACTTATCTATTAATCTTTACTCGGTTTTCCTTTATTATTCTCGACTAGCAAGTACCACCAATATTGATATTATTTAATATTGCTTAATATTAATTTAAATTTGAATTTAACAAATTTATCCCTGGTTATCTACATATTTATTAATAAACTATATTTACATTTCTCTAAATTATATTTTATAAATACTTCATAGGTTCTTTACAATAATATAAATAACTTAATATACCCAAACCCCTTCCTAATATATCCTTTATTTAATCAGGCGCGGGCTTTTCTCTACCTTTTCTTTTTCCCGTAGACGTTTAAATAACAAATTCATCTTGTTATGCGTACAGGTAACTGTAGCCTGACTAAACGTGAATGGTGCTTCTCATAATCAATCCCTTAAATTTTTGACACCCAATCTTATGGGTTTCTTTTTTATTTGGCAGAACCAAGCGTTGTTCTGTTGACATATACTTGTGTGTGCACAACATTATAGGGCTGGGCGCTTAATTATCACGTATCATTTAAATTTTCACAATTAAATTATTATATAAAATATAATATGGAGAGTGATTCAATTTATTTAACATGACGGCACTGTTTTAATGTCAATGATTAGATATAATTATTAATTAATTAATATTATTACAAACTAAAGATATGTATGTAATTTTATATTTGAAAATTTTTCTTCCTTTTCTAACCTATTCCTGCTCACATTTTTTTCCAATATAAAATTTTAACTCATGTTCTGATTAAATTTATAAACTCCCCGTGGGGTTATAATAGTATAATGCTCCAAAGCGTTTAGTTACAGGAATTTATATAAACCTCTAAGATATCTTATTTAATATATATAGATTTGTGAAAATTGACATTTTTGGATAAGGGGAAATTTACTTCTAATTCATAAATCCATCTTACATTTACAATCATCAAATTCGATGATTAGGATTTATTCAACGATGTTACGATTTTTGTCTCCTCTTGTGTCCATTTTGAGTTTACAATTTGCTTCATCACAATTTAAACAATAAAAAAGTTCTATCATGTTAGTATATAAGTAGTAAAACAATTTTTTACCATGTATTATTCCATCAGTTTCTTATAGTTCGCATTTTTCCTTATTTTTTATGGGTAACAACTATTTCTCCATAAATATTTTTTGCTATCTAGTTTAATATTATTGAACATCGAGGGTGCCTACACCATTTTTGCAAGAGTGGGAATCTATATCTATTTTTTGATGAGGCTATCAAAAAAGCGTTGTTTATTTCTAGAAAACAGTTATCTATTAAATAATATTAATTATATACCTTTCAACTAATCAGCTGAAAGCCTTAAGTTATTTTTGTTATGCAACCAAATATTTGTTTCTCATTTTAAAATTGGTTAGTTGATAAAGTTTTTTTTAAAAAAGTAAATTAATTTTAGAATATTTTTTTTATATATAATCTAAATGATTATTTTACTATTATTAACTGGATGAAATTCAAATAACTGTAAAGATGTATCGATATCATCAAGCGATAAAAATTAGATAGTGGTGTTTTGCATCATTTTATTTTATTATATATATTTTTTATGGGGGGGGGGGGTGTATGCCCTCTCTGGTTATATGGTCGCCCTAAGTTAAGAATATTCTAATTGATGAAAAGTAAGTTTAAATACAAAGTATAAAAAATTTGATTTACAGAATCAAATAATTATAAAATCAAGCCTCCTCCCTCTTCTTCAAAACTTATCGCGCTATTGCGCCAGACCCTCATCTCCAATTGTAGCGACCCTTAGCTACGAGATTCTTGACGTTCAACCTCAGAGTGTATGTGTGCACCTATTATTGATATATGCACCGGGCCTAATTTTTAATCTATTTATCCCGAAAAGTCTGACCGAAATAAAAATTATTTGCCGTCCCGACTCGCATTTACTTAAATATAGAAAAATTTAATCTTATTTATTGTAAAAAAATATTCAACAAATAAAAAATAATGGTTATTTGTTTCTTGTATGATTTTTAAAATTTATCCATTTATTTCGCAAAATTGAATATCATATTTAAAAATTTATGCCCGACCCGGCCGGCCCGAAGTTCGGGCCAAAGATTTGTAGATCTCTAGTACCTATACCTTTTTCAATAAAATTTTTATATTTTATTATAAGAATCATTTTATGCTGAGATTTTAAAAAAATACAAACCTAAGTTTTTTACAGAGTTGTTAAAGTAGCGCGCTACTTGTAGCGCTATCTTTTTTGGTAGCTATAGCTAATAGCCGCTACTTTTTTTAAAATTATTTAATTTTTTAGCGCGCTACTTTTAAAAAATATAATGAATGTAAGAAGTATAAACATGAAAATTTAAATATAATATCATAATTAATTATAATTTTTATAATTTATTATTTAATTTTGAAATTTAAATATATTTTCAATTTTTAATTTATATTTTCAATCTGTGTTAATAATCTAAAATGGCATCGCCCATGGATATCCAAATCCTTGAAAGTGATTCAGACATGGAAGATTCAATGGAAGAAAATGTACTTAATAGCTCTAATAACGATTTCCCATTCCCTAGATTTGAAAAATTTTTTAAAATAAATATTAAAACAAAATCTGGATTCAAATTCCTGTGCTTAAAATGTAAAAAAATATATCATCAAATCAATCGAGTAGCTATAACCTGAAGAAACACCTAAAGGTAAATTGTTATTTTTACATTATAATATTATTTATTTTATTAGACTGTTCACGCCAATTGCTATAAGGAAATAGAGAAACATATAAAAAATTTTGGTATAAGAGAATCTTCATTCCAAATACTATCCAAACCAAATTAACTGATAATAAACATGCCAATATTTCACAAAAATTGGCTGATAAAGTAATTGTTGATTTTATTATTGACACAGTTCAGCCATTGTCCTTGGTTGATAATCCATCATTTACTATGATGATTAAAACTTTATCCCCTGGCACAACAGTTTTATGTCGCCAGACACTTATGAATAAAATAGCCGACAACTTCAAAGTGATGAAAGATGCTCTAATAGTAGAGTTATAAGATCTTATGTATGTACACCGGCAGATAGGACACATAACAGAAGGTAAAAACTTATTTATATTTAAAAATTGATCTGATTAAATATTTTTAGAGCTTCCTTGCCCTCAAGTGCTAGTGTCGAGAGATTATTTAGTAAAGCAAAGCTTATACTTTCTGATCGTCGCTCTAGACTTGGGGATGATAATATTGAAATGATATTATTATTAAAATGCAACAAATTAAAATAAATATTTATTTATATTGCTTATTTTTTTAAAATCTAAACTAACTATATTTTTATATTTATAAATGTTGATTTTTATATATTATTTATTATACATTTACATTATAAGCAAAAAAAAAATAAAAAAAATTTGTTTCATTTGTTTCTAAAATTTTTTTTATAAAAAGTAGCTTAAAAGTAGCTAATAGCGCGCTACTTTTTTTGACAAATAGCGAAAGCGGTAGCGCGCTACTTTTTTTGACAAATAGCGAAAGCGGTAGCGCGCTAGTTTTTTTGACAAATAGCTATAGCGGTAGCACGCTACTTTTAAAAATAGCGTTTAACAACTCTGGTTTTTTATCTCAAACTAATATTAAAAAAATTAGAATTGAATTCTTTATTACTTATTCATTAATATTTTTTTTTTAATTTGATTTGTGATAAATTTATTGATTAATAATCACAATTATTTTTTTATTTTTTTTGTTTTAGTTAAAAGAAGATCAAGACAAAATATCGGCAAATTTAAATTATATAATTTTTTTTAAAAAAAATTTAATCCGATAAATCATAATCTTATGATTAAATCAAGGCAATTCGAGGAATTTTTCTATTTTTTACTTGTGGTGACCCTGACATTGACATTGGTCAAAAAAGTTATTTATTTTTGATTAATTTTATATTTTTAAATAATATTTGTCAATATGATTGTTATGTTCCCGGTAGATATAACCTAAGATTACGCCGAGAGGGGAGGGGGAGGGCAAAAAATTATCTAATTATTTGCCTCTTTTTTTTAAATATGATTTTAAGCTGCTGCTAAGAAAATTTTTTATACACCCTCCACACCCGCTCTTTCCAAATTATTTTTTTCTTTTTTAGGAGCAAGACCGGCTTCAGGATAACTTTTGAAACTAAAAATGTTGAGATAATTAATAATGAAAGGGGTTAAAATAGAGGTTAAAGTGAGCAAATTATAAATACATTATGATTGAATAAATCAGGGACAGAAATGTCTTGGGTAAATCGACCTGAACAAAAAAAAACCGAAATTACTCTAATTTTCAAAAAAAAAATTAAACGCTTTTTAAGAAGCATTTGAACAAATTTTTACAAATTGGGGTATTTTGGCCGGGGTACTTTTGTCTGGCTTTTTTGTCCAAGACATTTCTGGATTCTGATTGAATACCTATTAGGAAACATTCTCCATTTAAAAAAATACCTAAAAAACTATATGCCTGTTATAAGAAACAGTAAAATTGTTACAAAAATAATGCACACTTATATCGGAAAAATAATCATTTTAAAGATTCGATGGCTCAAATGATATATTTAAAGATTCATTTATGTTTTTTGGTGATAATGTAAATTAAAAATATTTTGAAACTAAGCTCATGATATACCTGCAAAGAATGACATCATAACGAAGTGTTTGATGAAATTTGTCTTCATTACCAGCTGTTTCCATTTCCTCATTTTCTAACATTTCACTCACTCAACCAGAACATGACATCTCAGGATTTTCTTGATAAGATTATTTCACAGCTACATAAAATGCACATTTACTGGGAGTGCTTGTAGCTCGAACAAATTGTCCTCCGCAAAACGATATCATGAATGATTTGGAACAATAATGTTATATATTATTTTAACCTTTATCTTCACCAGTTTATAAAGTATCCTTTTAGAAAAAGAGAATATTGGAGCTGCATCATTTTAGCAAAAAAATATGTGTTCCTGCTACAAGCACTCCCAATGAGTTTGTATTTTCTGTAGCTGGACTAACCTTAAATTCAAGAAGATCCTCACTATGTCCTTCCAATTTAAATATATATGTGTTAACTATAATTTTATCAATTTAATTTACTGTATCATTGTTTTTAGGAAAATGAACTGTATTTCAAAATTAGTTGTTTCTAATAAATAATTAAATTTGATGAAAAAATTAAGTAAGAAAAATCGAAAATAGTTTTATTAGGTAATGGAAAATATGGCGAGCCGCCTGTTTGCCACTGGCGGCTGCGTAAAATTTGGCGTGCCAATCGCCGATAACGCTGTCGCTGAATCAGCGCATAGGTCTAGTTATATAATATTAATATTTAACAGGTGTTAATCAAATATGACATTTATTGTTTTTAAATTTACCAACGTTAAAATTTAAAAAAGCTAGTTTTAAAAATTATTAATTTTGATGATTAAACCGATATGGAAATACAATCAATTATAAACCGATTTAAATATGGAAATGCAATCAATTGAATGTTCCCCTTCAGGCGCGTACGCAGCGGGGGGGGAAACAGGGGGACAAATCCCCCCCCCCCCCCCAAAGCCAAAAAATGCAGATGCCGGATTATATTTTTCAAAAATATTATTGTTAATATTAATTTATATTTGTTAATATTTATTCTTATCATTAATTACATTTATTTATCACATTCATCTACTAAGTTATTTTATTAATCAATTTCGATTTCAAGTTTTCCTTGGCGTAATTTACCTATTATTTTCAAATTTTAGTGGCGTAATATTTATCTAAATTTCTAATAAAATAATAATTATCTCTGAAACTCCTTGTCCAACAGGGAGAAAAAAATTGCAAGCTTGTCCAACGAGATCGAGTCTCCGCCACAGTAACAGCTATTTTGGAGTTAGAAGAGCTGATTATTAATGCTATTACTGAAATATCACAATGGCTTGAAAGAAATATTTCCTCAGAAGCAAGAAAATTATTGGATTCAATACTTATTCCAAATTTTTATTCTCATTAGAATGTATTATTTAATTATACAACTATTTTATGTAATACTTTTCAAAAACATAACATTAACTTGATTAAGAAGATGAGAATAGCGGAGAGCATTTTATTAGAACTCAAGGAAATAGAGCTAGTGTTGTTGAAGAATTTCATATTTTATATGTTATTGTTGAGTCAAAAGCAGAGCTATACGTGTTAAATATTTGTCCCCCTCGACTTGCAGCAAGCAAGCTCATCATCAAAACATTAATATAGGATCAGTAGAAGAGTATTATAAAACAAATGTCCCCTCTCCCAACCTTTTTCATATGGTGATAGAAAAAAAATATAAATATTTGTTATATTTTTATCATGAAGATGTTAAAATATCTTATGATGCCTTATTAGCTGAATAACTATGATTAAAAGATTAACTATGGTTGATACAGTCCCAAAAAATGCTATGGATGCTTTTTATTTCTAACACATTTTAGATTATACTCCCAATTATTAAAATGGTTATATATATATTAGCAGCTCTTTAGTAAACTAATGAGAGAACATTCACTTTTTTAAGAAGAATAACAGAGCCTTGCAGAGGTACCATTTGCAGGACCAGGCCCAGATTTTTTTTAAAATTTTTTTCCGGCCCGGGTTTTTTTTAAAAAAATTTTCAGGCCCGGCCCGGCTAGCCCAGCCCGAATTTTTTAAAATAAATTAATTTATTTTTGATATTTATAGCTAATAATGGCGATTTCAAATATTTGGTTTTAAAATATACAACTCGGCTCGGATATTTTTTCTTAAAAAATTTTCAGGCCCAGCCCGGGTGTTTTTTTAAAAAAAAATTACGAGCCCGGCGCGGGTATATTTAAAAAAATTAAAATTCGGGGGCCGGGCCTGCAAGTCTGTGAAAAACATACCTATGAAATACAACATCTGAAAGTAGATTGAATGATTTGGATCTTTTGAATATTCATAGACATTTAACGCCAAGCAAGGATTGATAATTGAAAAATTAGCTCAAAACATACAAAATACAATTATTCCTAAGAAACTTTTTGTGTATTAATTTATATTTACAACATTTAAATTTTTTATACTTTATATATTTTAAAAGCTCAAAAAATTCAAATTTCAATTTTGGGTCATTTAAGTGATTCATATCGTGGGTTATATTCACTTTATATTTTATGATTCACATTTAAATGCCGGTTTATATATATAATTTTTTTAATTCACATTAGTTTAAAATTGTGTATTAGAAAAGTTATTAATCCTAATAAATTTATGCTTAGTATTTTTAATTAAAAATATTATTTCTTAAAAAATTTATTATCCCCCCCCCAGACCAAATTCCTGCGTACGCGCCTGTTCCCCTTCATCTAATCTTATTGAAATTTTCGATGACTCCATATAGCATGGGGAGGTAGTATCCATAATGATACCATCATATATTTTATTTATATAAATAAAAATAAAACTTTTTATTATAATAAATGTTAAAAATAATCAATACTTTTATTTCATAGAGTGATGGGTTAAACGAAATGCCTTTCAATTTTGTCTATTACAGCCAATGACAAATAAATATTTCAAAAATTTATAAACAAAAGTTATAAGGTTTTGATTTTTTTTATGACTGTGTATCACTATCCATTAATAAAATAATACTCCATCTCCACTACTAAAGAAACTTCACTATAAAATTTTTGAAAAATTCATGGTCTCAGGAATTGAAAGAAAGAAAAAAAAAATTTTTGGAGTGGGTTGAGAGTGATTTCCCTGTATTCCAATATAATATACTAGTATTTTTGCAATTCTTACATTGTAAATTAAGCCATAATAAAGCCATGGACTCACGCTTGTCTACTGAAAAAAATTTATATTATATCAAAACGAAAGTTTTATCAATTGAAGTATTAATTCCACAAAAAAAAATCATTTATACTCTTCTTTTATACTAATCTCCAACAAAATTTGATATATAAATAATAATTGACGGGGGGGGGGGGGTTATAATTAATGAAGTCAATAGAATATCAACTGTGGCAAAGGCAGAACCGCAGGCCCGGAAGAACAAAAACTAATTAGCCAATTGGGGGAAAAGTTTACTGTACCTTTTAAAAATTTTTATATAAAAAATCCGATCAATACAAAATCTTATGACTGTGAAGTGATATTTTTTTAGACTAATAAAAAATTTTAAGGCAAATCATATTGTGCTATATTTTCAATTCATAATTTGAAAGCAGGTATACGAAAAGAACGACATTTAACAAGCGCCCTATTTTCTATAAATATAAATATATTTGAAGAATTGTGATTATTATTATTAAGTTAAAAGTTAATAATAAATTGATAAATGATGAACATATAAAAAAATTTTAAAAAAATATTAAAATTTAAAAAAAATATACTCCAACCAAAAAATAGTTATTTATAAAATTATTGAATATGCAATGAAATGAAATAACCTTCAACCCTCTAAAAATTATTTATAAAACAAGAGGATAAGTATTAGTTTCATTTTATTGGCAAAAAAAGTATATTTTGTAAATTTATAGTAATCATGGCAGCCCGTATTATTTGTAACCTTGTAAAAATACCAAAATTTTTAGAAATATCTTTAAAAGATAACGATTTTTAATAGATCCATTTATTTTTTTAGTGCAGGGAATAAAATGGATAAATATAAAATTTATTTTAAAAAAAACTATATTCAAAAGAGGAAGGAAGAGTGATAATGTTATTCGATTTACGTATAATTAATAACAACCAACTTTGACCTTTAAAAAATAAATTAAACAGGCAAATGCTCAAGAAATACCGGGTGAAGATGATATGAGTGTTGATAGCAATCAAGGACCTTTTATAGCTGCTGGCAGACAATTTCATGGAACTGTGAAGGATTTTTCCCCGTTTGACGCTAAGGTAGACGCTCAAAAACTTAGAAAAGCTATGAAGGGAATAGGTTAGAAACAATCATTGTAAAAAAAAAAATAATATCCCACTTTTTAAAGAAAAATAAATTATGTGAGAAATTTATACTCTTTAATATAATTTTGTTGAAGTAAAAAGACTCTCAAATATCAATTTTAATTTTTGAGATTAAAAATAATCAATAAATATGAATTTCATTGTTTAACAAAATAAATGGGATAGCAGCATTCTAATACAGTATTGCACACGAAAAGGGATAATAATGGATTTTTTTATAAATGTAAAGAATTGCTGTTAAGGTTTTAAAGCTTACAATATTGGGTTATGTTACATATATTTCAAATTGAATTTAAAAAAACAAATAGAGAATTGAACTTACCTTAATCAAGGTGTTTTTTTGTTTAGCCTACAAAAATTGAGAGTTGGTCGATGCGTTAGGTATCTCTAATCCTCCCCTTCCCCTCTTTTCTAGTGATTTTCTATTAGTCTCGACATTTTTTCCCCATATTTATTCATGGAAAATTATCATATAAATATTTAGTATAGCATCATCTAACTAATATTTGCAATATTTGTCGAGGATTTCAGGATGTCTCCCTCGACAAATATTGCAGATAGAAATCCTGAAATCTCTATTTCAGAACCTTATAAGATTTTCCATCCTATACTTATCATTTCTTTTCATATATTTAATTTTTTTTTTATTGCCTTCTTAACAGGTACGGATGAAAATACGGTTATCAATATTTTGACCAAACGATCCGAAAAACAGAGGCAGGAGATTATAAAAGCTTATAAGACTCTCTATCGAAAGGTTTAATTAATATTCAATTCCATTTATTCCTAGGAATCATTCATTCACTTTGTTTATTTGAAGTATAGCCTACTATACCATCTTTAAAATTATAATTATTTTAAAGAACTTACAATCTTCTGTTAAAGGTGATTTCTCCGGCATAACAAAGGAAGCCTTACTTGCTTTATTATACCCACGTGATACTTACTTGGCAGTACTTTTGCATCAAGCGGTCAAGGTTTGTTCAGAGAAGAAAAAATATTATCATCTCTTAATAATTATAATAACTTTGTTTGAACTTTTTTCCCCTTAGTCCCTAAAAAATATTGATATATTAAAACTAAATAAATTGATTGTGCAATAAGTTGTAGCAAGTAACACTAGGTAAGCAGCGCCGTAAGCATCATTAAAAAAACACTAGTGGAAAAAAATAATTAATAAACACAATAACCCATAGATTTTTAAAAAGCCCTAAATATAATATTCCATAGGGGTTTTTAGCAAAATTGAGTTTTTAGCAAATATTTAAAACTTGATACATTTTATAGGGAGCGTTTTATAAATATTTTGAAGGATTTAGCCGGAAGAATTTTTTATATTGATCTATGTAAAAAATTAAGGGAAAGGTTCTAGATCGCTAAAACAAAAATCGTAAAAAATTGGGAATTCCACTTATATCTTCTAGAAAATTTTAAATATAAATTTAAAAGAAAAATTTGTAGAATAGTAGACCTTAATCTCGCAAGAAAAAAAAATTAAGTTGGCATTTGATCCATTTTTGATCGAAATTTCTCAAAAAGAACTCGCTCTAAGTCTATTAAGTTCCATACACCCTTTTAAAATAAAATACAAAAATTCCTCATCCGGCAAATATTTTTCATGTAAATCTTAAAAAAACGAAAAATCATTGCCAAATTATCTTAAATTAACGAGACAGGCATAACTCTTTTATATATGTTGTTTAAATATGATTTCAGCACGGTATAAATGAATTAAGTTTTAAAAAAAATTCCAACCCCTAATAAGCTTAACCCCTGTCATATTATATAAAAGTAAAGAGATTGATTATATTATATATCTACTATACTCAGGCGCGTACGCAGCGGAAGCCAAAAAATGCAGATGCCGGATTATATTTTTCAAAAATATTATTGTTAATATTAATTTATATTTGTTAATATTTATTCATATCTCACATATATATATATTTAATTACATTTATCGCCATAAAATGGAGAAGAAGACATTCATCTACTAAATTATTTTATCAATTAATTTCGATTTCAAGTTTTCCTTGGCGTAATTTACCTATTATTTTCAAATTTTAGTGGCGTATTATTTATCTAAATTTCTAGTCAAATAATAATTATTTTTAAAACTCCTTGTCCAACAGGAAGAAAGAAATTGCAAGTTTGTCCAACGAGATCGAGTCTCCCCCATCAAGCTTAACAGCTTTTATGGAGTTAGAAGAGCCGATTATTAATGCTATTACTGAAATATCATAATGGGTTGAAAGAAATATGTCCTCAGAAGCAAGAAAATTATTGGATTCATAACTTATTTCAAATTTTTTTTCTCATTAGAATGTATTATTTTATTTTATGTAATACTTTTCAAAAACATGACATTGACTTGATTAAGAAGATGATAATAGCTGAGAGCATTTTATTACAACTCAAGAAAATTAGAGATAATGTTGATGAAGAATTTCATATTTTATTTGTTATTGTTGAGTCAAAAGCAGAGCTATACTTGTTTAAAATTTGTCCCACTCGACTTGCAGCAAGCAAGCTCATCGTCAAAACATTAATATAAGATCAGTAGAAGAGTATTATAAAACAAATGGCCCCCTCTCTTAGATACATTTTTAACCCAAATAAATGAATGGTTTTTAATTCATCATGCAGCCTTACAAATCCGCAGATATTACTTCCACAAAATCCTTTCCAAACTTTTTCAGATGGTGATGGAAAAAAAATATATTTGTTAGATTTTTATCATGAAGATGTTAAAATATCTTATGATGCCTTATTAGCTGAATAACTTTGATTAAAAGATTAACTATGGTTGATACAGTCCCAAAAAATGCTATGGATGCTTTGCATTATTTCAAACACATTTTAGATTATATTCCCAATGTATTTAAATGGTTATATATATTAGCAACTCTCCCATAGACATTCTTTTTTTTAAGAAGAATAACAGAGCCCTGCAGAGGTACCGTTTTCAGGGCATGGCCCGGATTTTTTTAAAAACCGGGTTTTGTTTAAAAAATTTTCAGGCCCGGCTCGGTTTTTTTGAAAATAAAATTTTCAGGCCCGGCACAATGTTTTTTAATAAATTATATTTATTTTTGATTTTTATAGCTAATAATGGAGATTTCAAATATTTATACAGCTCGGCCCGGATATTTTTTTTAAAAAAATTTTTAGGCCCAGCCCGGGTGTTTTTTTAAAAAAAATTTCGGGCCAAGCCCGGGTATTTTTAAAAAATTTATAATACGGTCCGGCCCGGAGGCCTGGGCCTGCAAGTCTCTGAAAAACATACCTATGAAATACAACTTCTGAAAGTAGATTGAATGATTTGGATCTTTTGAATATTCATAGACATTTAACGCCAAGCAAGGATAGATAATTGAAAAATTAGCTCAAAACATACAAAATACAATTATTCCTAAGAAACTTTTTGTGTATTAATTTATATTTTAAACATTTAATTTTATACATTATATAAAAATTTTAAAGGCTCGAAAAATTTCAATTTCAATTTTGGGTTATTTAAGTGATTCATATCGTGGTTATGTTCACTTTATATTTTATAATTCACATTTAATATATAGTTTATATATATAATATTTTTGTAATTCACATTTATTTAAAATTGTGTATTAGAAAAGTTATTAGTCCTAAACCTAATAAATTTATGCTTAATATTTTTAAATAACAATAATATTTCTTAAAAAAATTTTTTATCCCCCCCCCCAGACCAAATTCCTGCGTACGCGCCCTGACTATACTAAAATAACCTTTTATTATCATCTAAATAATTTATATGTGATAATAGGGAGTTGGCACAGATTTGGGGGAAATAGCGGAAGTAATATGTTCTCTTAGCCCACAAGAATTGGAAATGGTTCAAAGAGCTTATAAACAAGGTATGTCCTTTTACTTTATTTTTCATATTTCCTTCTTTTTTTAAGATTTCATAGATATAGTTCTTACTTTTTTTAAAAAATTTTTGCTCCTTAAAAAAATATATTAGAATATAAAAAAGAATTGGCTAAGGCAATTGGAAGTGATACTTCTGGAGATGTCAAAACTCTACTCTTGGATTATATTAAAGTATTATTAATTGTTTAAAGGTATGTTTACTTTTAAACTAAAATTATTATAAGTTTTATAAATATCTCCACTACCTTTATTACTTGTAAACTGTAGTATACGAACGCCCTGATGTGCATGTTTATTATTTTTAATCTATAAGGGTAATAGAATGGGCCCGAGATCGCCGGGAGAAATCGAGGCAGATGCCAAAATTCTCCAGACTAAGGGCTTTAAAAATATTAGCGGCAAAGGCGGTGTGGCCGAAATTTTATCTACTAGGAATCAGCAAGATCTTCAAAAAATTTTTGCCAAATATCAAGCTAATACCAAAAAAAGTGTGTTATCCCAAATTAATTCGGACTTGACACTTAAAGTGACGGATTCCGGAAAAACTAAGAAAGTGCTACAAAATTTAGGTTTTATTTATGTTTAAATTAAATATCCCTTTTTGTGAAATAACTATTTACCATTTAGTAAAATAATTTGTATAAAAATTGTATTCAATTATATAATCAGTACAATGCATCAATAATCCCCCTGAATACTATGCAAAACGAATCAAAGCCACTCTCTGGGTAATTCATAATGATCATTATTAATCTCTTCATAGGCGTAACCATGGGGGTGGGGGGGGGAGGCGAGATTTAACTTCCCTTCGGAAATTTGCCTGTTTTTGTAAAGATCATTACAAGCTAATAGAAATTTCACCCTACATACCCACTCTTCCTCCAAAATTGTATACAACATTTTTAAAATAACGACCATCCAAAATTATTTTTATAGAAATATAACATAGCCAATATGTGGGTCTAAAGACCTCCAATAACGATTATAGGGGAAAATTCAACTAATTGTGCCCACCCCCCACTATCAAAATCATGGCTACTCCTATGAAATTCTTCTTTTTTTGGTTTTTTTATAAATAATTAATTTTAGGGTCCAGGTACCAAAGATCACAAACTATTAAGATTAATAATCGCTAGAAGTGAAATAGATCTTGCAGCAATTAAGGAAGCTTATCAAAGACTCTACAAAAAACCATTAAAGAAAGCTGTAGATGTAAATCATTTTATTTTTTTTTAAAAACTTAAATTAAATTTTCGACATAAGATATACTTATTAAAAATGTACAATTTTTGATAATTTAAGATATTATTTTGATTTACGCATCTGTACAATATTTTATTTTAAATAATTATAGTCCGACACTACAAGAAAATTTCAAAAGGTCTTAGATGGGCTTATAGTAGGAAACGTTTGAGAAAAAAAATGAGCACGCTTTGCTGGCCATGTTATTTATATTTTATTTATTACTTTTTAAAATATTATTTATTAGTAATATATTAGAGAAATTTTTATATAATTAACATTTTTATTAAATGTATAATATAATTTATCAATCCTCTTTCAAAAATCTTGATAATAAAAATGTTCAACTTTCTTTTAAATCACTATACCTTCATCCTTAACCGATATCAAAATAAAATGTATTATAAAATTTCATAATATACTAGATTCCTCAATTATATTTTTGCCCTTGAATAAAACCATCATATTTAGTCTTATTATCTTCGAACTTTAGGCTTTCAAAAAGGGTTCTTTCAATTTCTGAAATTAAAAGATTTTTCCATTAAACCTGCTAGAATCCCTAGGCCTCATACTGAGCTCCCTGTTATATATCTTTGGATATAATAATCATTTTAAATCAGGGATAATCAATTACCAATTTCGGGCAAAGGTACTCTTATCCCTTAAAAATGAATAATAAAAATAAAATAACTAATCTTATCATAGCAATTTAATATAGGGAGAACAAAAACTTGTAAGTTTCTTTCTTACAATTAATTTTACGTAAGTAAAAAAAAGATTAGCAAAATAGATTGATTCTTTGATAGGATGGGATAATATAAATTGATTACAAGTGCTTTTTCCCTAAAATTTTTATACTTTATCGTTGGGATTTTTTTCTGGACTAGAAAAAAGTTATTTTGTTTAGGCTGTGTCCTAAATATAAAAAATGGAAATAAATTTAAATTTTGAGGTAAAAAATAACATATTTTTAATGTAAAATTAAAATAGTGTTCAAAATCATTTTTCATCATTTACAAAAATTTATTTTTTATGAAAATATTAGATTTTTTTCAAAATTTATTTATTTGGGTAATTTTTACGAAAAAATAGTAAGTAATGTTATTTTAGTTATTTTATTCTCGTTTTTTTTTCTCTTTATTTTAATTTTTACACAACTTTTTAAAAAATGGACATGTTTCATAATTTTATTAATTTGCGAAAATTTATAATTTTGATATTTTTTTCAATATATTTAGGACACAACCTTAGTTAGAGTTATTTTATACTTGTGATTATTTTTCTCTAGCTTTATTATTATATAAATACATGATGTATTATAATTTAATAATGGCATCAGGTCAAAACAGCAAAACTTTAATGGCCAAACATTTTTTGCCGATATTGTGTATCGCGAATAATTTTTTTTTCTCCGCGTAGCTTTTATAGCTAAGACAATATGAGGAACCCATTATCGTGATTTTATTTTCCTTCAAATTTTAATCGCAAAAAATTTAGAGCAAATTACAGAGAAGATTGTATCGCGAATACCGTGAATTTGATATCCCGAACCGAAACTTAAATGGCCGATATTTTTTAGCTATAATCTACTAACGCTTCTTTTTCTTATGTAGCTCTGAGAAGAGAGGGAAATAACTTAGAAATTTCTTCCTTTGGGGCTCCATTAATATCCATTACCTAGAATAGTAGAATTACTGGCTAATTTAAAGGGAGCAACAATATTTCTAAAATAGATTTTTCTAATGCCTACAAGGTAAATGAGAAAGCAAGATATTAATTATTACGCATAGGGGTTTGTTTTCATTCTGCATTGCCTTTTGGGTTAAACAGCAGTAGCCCCTACAACTTCTGAGCGATGGAAGCAGAATTCCCTTCCCCCTCCCTAAAAAATACTCCCCCTCCCCCCTTCGAAAAAGAGGGTTGATTATTTTTTGACACCCATAAATTTCAAAAATAATCTTTATTGCATCCAATCTTTAATATAATTATAATTTAAATGAAATGTAAAAAAATATATACTCTAAAAATATTATTTTAAAATGAATAATTTAGGCAAATTAGGGGAAGAGAAAGCGAAAGAATTTATAATTTCATCGATATAATTGTTTAATAAATTTTTTCCCATTGATAAGATGCAGGCGCGTAACCAATGGGTGGGAATTTCCCCCTTCCCTCCCCCCATCGCAAATTTGACTATTTTCATAAATATCATTTTAGGCTAATAACAATTTTACCCCCCCCCCCCCCCAATCAAAATTTTACAAATATTTGGATATCAATTTTCCAACATAAAACATTTTTTATAAATAAATTTTAATTTCCTTTCCTTGAGAGTACATTAACATTATTCAAAAATATTAATAAAATGGAAAATTTTTTAGTCTAAGAGTTTGAAATCAAACGGTAATTTATTTTATATATAATTATTTTATTAAATTCAAAATTGTTAGTGAGTCGGAAATAATAAGTATTTTTAATAATATTTTAATTTTTCATTTTTACTTCCAATTTGTAGAACAGAAGAAATAGAAATACAAAAGTTATATAAGGCTGAGCATGAAAAAAAGTAATGTGTCTTCAAAAGCGATATCATTATTGAATTCAATTGATCAATCAGAGTTTATCATTGCTGCTAGTTGCATCAATAAATTATTTTCCTATAGCTCACTACTTTTTAGAAATTTACAAAAACAAAATTTAGATTTGGTTCAGGTTATTGATTTGGCGGAAAAAATATATGAACAGGTAGAATGATGTAGATGAATATTTTCATAATATTTATCTAGACGTTGAATCGAAGGCTAAATTTTATGATATAACACTAATTAAACCTCGTCTAGCACTTAGGCGATTATTGAAATGTAAAATAAATATTTTCTCAACTGAAGAATATTATAAAATATCCATTTTCATCCCATTCTTAGATACGGTTTTTAGATAAAAACAAGTCTTTAGCAATCTTCAAGTTTAATACCCAAAGATCTTTCTTCGTTTTATAATGCCATTATTGGTAAAATGAAATATTTAGCAAAATTTTATTCCTATGATATAGATACGGAAATAAATTTAATCAGTGAATTCGAATTGTGGTATAAATATTTACTACGTTTAGCTATTTTATCTGAGCATGCTATTGATGCGCTCAATCGGTGTAAAGAAACCTTGGCTCAATTTCCGAATATTTTGAAGTTGTTTTATGTTCTTGTATGTTTGCCTATTACAACATGTACGAATGAAAGGACTTTTTCCAACTTGAGAAGGTTGAAAACATATTTATGAAGTACTACTTCCGAATCTCGGCTAAATGGGTTAGCTCTGTTAAATATTCACAGAGATTTGGTTCCAACGACAAACGAAATTCTTGATGAATTGGCAACATTCCCACGAAAATTAAAAATCACATTATAATTATAGTATTTAATAAAAAAAATTGAATAATATTGTATTTGATAAGAAGTTAAAAAAAACTTGTTTTTTAAATTATTTTCTAGTCAATATTTTATACACACTACTATTAGTATTTTCAATAAAAAAATTATATTCTACTTATATGGTATGAGAATTTAAGCTGAGGCTAGTTTTTAAAGCAAATTTTATAAAAAAAATGACATTAAACTTTATTTCAACTTTACATTTAAAAAAACTTTATTAAATATAATATACCTAACTTAAAAAATAATAAAAAATAGGCTTGTAATATCCATAAGCACGAATTAGTAAAAAATAATAGTTAAAAATATAAATATATTTATTATTAAATTATGAATAATTTAATAGAATAGCTAAAACATAAGACCTGGCCGAAGGCCAGGTAAGGAAGATTTGGGGGCGAAGCCCTAAAAAAAATTCCCCCCCCCCATAAGAAAATCTTGGATACGCCACTGATAAGATGATTAAATTATTAAGAAATGGATCTTTCATGGTACTACGAAGTCTTTTTTAATTAATTTAATTTTACTCATGACCCTTTCGGCAGTACATGAGGTAGTAGGAATGTTTAATAAAAATTTATATAAAATTGTTAAATTAGGGAAAGCAGAAAATTTTAAAGTAGACGATAAGGTAAAATAAACGAATAGTTTTGAATCATAAGTCTCAGAATTATAATCAGAAGAAGAAGAAACTAAATAATGTGTTAGTAAAAATATTTTAATTAATAAATTTACAATTCTCAGAATCTGACAAATCTTTAGATTCTTTAACCTCTAGGTCACCTGTAATAATTACATCCCCCTTTTTAGCCATCTTATAAATATTTATAAACTTCAACATTCCTTCAAAAATTTGACTTGAATTTAAATGGTAATTTTCACAAAAATGTAATAATAAGATCCCCACTTATTATTTAATTTAATATGTATTAATGGAATCACGAGGTCGAGTCCGATATCATAAACCATCACATGGTTATGGATAAGTGTAGTAAACCACTCAAATTTTTAGAAGCAGTTGCTTCGCCTCCCCCCGTTGTAGTGGCCACTGGTTAAAAGTATCAGCCCCAATATTTAAAAGAACTATGGTGGCTATTTTCCAAGGATTAAGTGGAATCATGTATTATTTAGATGATGTTTTAATATCATGGAACAGAATAAGAGCATAATACGAGATTAATCAAAGCATTAGATATAATTTTAGAAAATGGTCTGAGAGCTAATATGAAAAAAAGTGTTTTTGGAGTAAAAGAAAAAAAGTACTTAGAACATATAATAAAGGGAAATGAAATTTATCCCATTTCAAAGAATATAGATTAGATTGTGAGCATGAGAGCACCGAGTAATAAGATTGAATTACAAGTTTTATAAGCTACAAATTTTTATCATCGTTCATACCGAATTTTGCAAAGATAGCTACACATGTCTACAAGTTGTTAAAGAAAAATATAAGATTTGAATGGATAAAAGAAAAACTTAAAGATGGTAGACCTATTCTGAATTGATGAAGCTAATGAAGGTATAGGAAGAGCTAATAGATGGATCAATGGTCTCAAAAAACTGGTTAACGTTAGCAGGGAAGAAGCTAGTAAATTATATGGAGAAATGATAAGAGTGGTGGGTCAGCCAAGACAATGCTGGGCTTTTGAGGGTGTTCATCTGATGAGATACTGTCCCGATCAAATCATGACCGCCAATAACGAGACCATGACAATACAAAATGAGGTTCCACAGTTATTGAATCAAGTTGAGATGAACCAAGTTGCTAG